AAACGACGCGCGCGCGCGCGCACACACACACACACACACACACACACACACACGATATGTAAATAATACCAATTATAACAACTGTACCATCTGATTTAAGAATGTCCCCACCCACGGGCCTGTTCTTTGTCTCCAGGCTCCAGGAAGAATGCTCTCGCACTGATATACTAGAGAGAGGTTTGTCCTTGCTAATAACGTAACATCAGTGGTGATTTTTATATTTAGCATTCTCCCCCTCCTTCCCTTCATTCACTTCCTCTTATTGAATCATACCTGTCTCCTACAATCCACTACATTGTATTTAATCTGTAGTAGCAGAATGAAAAAAAAAATGTTCCAACAAATGGTGCTCAAATTCCTCTTGCAAGGACAATTCCCTTGGCAAGAAAAGTATCTAGATATGCCACCTGGAGTGTGTTAAACACAAGGGACAAAAAAAATAGGCAATAGAAAACAGGAATTTGGGAATGGGGAAAGAGCAGAGAGAAGTGAAGAAGGGGAGAGGGGATGAGGGAGGGAGAGGGATGGCGGGAAAGCTGAGGAAAATGGAAGAACAGCTTGCATTGGTACACTATGAAACCCCTTCTCCTCTGTCTTCTTCAAACACTCAAGAAGGCTTACTGTACACGACTGCAGTACCTGTGTGTGTGCTTCTAGCTGATAGAATACGGCAAAGGTGATAGGATGGCTACTCCCTTGATAAGATTATGTTATAAAAGACTCAGATTTAGCAGACCAGAGAGAGAGAGAGATGGTCCTGCTGGCTTAGAAGACGTAAACTGCCATTTGTAAAATGGCCACGTGGCGAGAAAATGCTGGTGGCCTCTAGGAGCCAAGAAGAACCCTTAACTAAGAGTCTGCAAGAAAATAGGAACCTGTCCTACAGTCATAAGGAACTGAATTCTTCCAATGACTACATGAGCTTGGAAGAGGACCGTGAGCCTCAGAAAGCAATGCAGGCCAGCTGACATTCTTTTTTTTTCTTTAACTGAGTTATAGTCGATTTACAATGTTGTGTTAGTTTCTGGTATATACTAGCTGACATCTTAATTGAAGTCTGGTGAAACCTTGAACAGGAAATGCAGCTAAGCTGTGCCTGCACCCTCAACCCACAGAAACTGTAAAAAAAAAAAAGTATGCTGTTCTAAGCTGCTAAATTTGTAGCAATTTGTTATGTAGCATAGAAAACTAATACAGGGGTGTGTGTGTGTGTGTGTGTGCTGTGGCGCACGTGCACGCGTGTGTGTTTAAAACTGAGACAAAGGACTGAGTCCCAGGTCTGGATTAACATGGTGGGCAGGAGGACAGCACGTATAAAACAGTGAAATGATCTTTGAACAGACTAATTCAGCTGAAGCAGGAGTTTGGAGTCAGAGATGGTCCTGAGCGCCTAAGCTTTATGGAAATTTGGAGAAATACCAGTATCTTAGTCTGGGCTCCCCAAGAGGCGGACCCTGAGACAAGAAGTTACATAGTTTACCTGAAAGGTGATCCCAGCAAAACCAGGTAATATATTGAGGGAATGAGATATGGAAGGGGAGGAAGCCCCTGAAGGTTGCATATCAAGCAAATTACTATCCTGGGCAGCCGAATGTAATCCTGTAGGAAATAATGAAGAATAAGCCGCAGACTTATCCCACCCCTGGGGAAAGGGAGCTGGGATATTTATCCACTAACTGCCATCCCATATGGGGAGGGGCTGCTTCTAAGGGGTAAGAAGAAGCCAACCCCCCCACCCCCGATTTCTGGCCTGACCCTCGTGGGGAGGCATCCATCCAAACCTCCTCTCCTCCTCTAACTGTTCTGTGTGTCTGTGTGTGTTCATGTGTGTGTGAGCTGCTCCTCACAATACTCTGCCAGGCACTTTATATTTTTTCATTTAATTCTCCCAATACCTCCTTTCCAGTAGCTATTATAATCCAATTTTACAAACCAGAAACACTAAACTTTCAAGAAGTTAGCAACTTGCCGAGGTCTTATAGTTACTAAGTGACAAGACTTGGATTAGAAACCCAGGTTGGTCACCAGCAAAGCTGAGACTTCTGACCACCTCCCTGAGTCATCAGCAGGAAGTCCACCTCCTGGTCTAGCCTTTTACCCACAGCATCCACCCTCTGACGAAGCTCCGGGGTGTAAGGTGGACCTCTCTGCCCGCTCCTGGTACCTTCTCTCATTGCTGAAGTTATTTTTGATTCTTTGTTCCATAAACCCATATGTGAATGGTGCCAGAGTCGTCCCTACCAGAAGTTCAGTTTGCCAGAATGGAGGGAGCGGGAGGACTTAGGAGGCCAACAGCAGCCAGAGAATTTGTAGAGCCGCAGTGCATTGCCTGGGAAACAAGGAATTTGTATGAGGCTTTGTGTTGAGAGGAGGCAGGGCCTTGCTGCTCCAGCAACCACCGAACAAGAGACAGATTAGCTAGTTCTCTTTGGAACAAAACAAGCTTTTTGTGAGCCTGGACAGTGAGGAATGGCCTTCCCCAATGACATTTTTTCTTTCCTTTTTCTTTTGAAATTTCCCCTAGGTAGCGCAACGCTGGCTTGCTTCTGAGATAGGGTCAAAAGTCTCCCCTGCCCTTCCGGGGACCTTCATCCTGAACGCTGGTTTTGCTGCCTGCAGATTTCTGTAAATGTGAGGAGCTGCTTGGAAGAAGAGTGTTCTGCAGAGACAGGATGTTTCAAAAAGGTGTGGGGTGTGGGGTTTTTTGGGAGGAATATGTGATCCTGGGGCGGCGTGGGGTATATTTCTGTAAGGCAGGGAGGAGGTGCTCCCAGGTCCGAACTGGAAAACTGAAAAACATCAAAGTGTTTTATGCTGAGAGTAAATATTTGATTTCTGAATAGAATTCCCACCCCCTCAGAAATTGAGAGGAACTTGGGCTTGTGTCCATGGTTGCTGAACGTGCCTTATTCAGCAACTCTCCAGAAAAACAGGGAGAAATTAATTGGCGTTCAAGTGTTGTTTTATTTCTTTTTTTTTGTATTTTGCTGACCTATTTACGAAGCAGCAAGGACATTCTAGAGAACATCTCTGGAGTTCTGTTCTTGCAGAACTTCGGTGCTCAAATAAAAACAGGTTGAAAAATCATAGGGAGCCACAAATTACCCCTGACTCATGAAAGGTTTCATTGTTTCCCTCCTCCGAGATCCTTAGCCGGTGTCCTCCCACCAACCATGTCCGGAAAGGATTCACTCCCATCCTCTCTCTCCCACCCTCCTCCCAAAGAGGGAGGCACAGAAATGGAAATCAGCTGGCCAGCACCGAATAATTGCCTACTGTGTGAAGAGCACTCCATGTTCCAGGCTTTGGTAAGAGGAGTGGGATGTGGGAAAGGTGGCACATTCAAAAGTAATAGAAAACACAACCCTTGCCTCAGTGCTTCAGGATAGTTGGGAAAGCTGCGTCTAAATCTGTAAGTAATACAGTTAATAATATATTTGCACTGCCCTGGACAAACTGTCTTTTAGAATATTGTCTTATTTAATCTTCTAACAACTCTGTACGGTAAGATCCACCTCCTCCCCACCCCCGCTCCAAGGAGGAACATGAAGCTCAGAGAGGTTAAGTAACCTGCTCAAAGTCACACAGTTCATAAGTCAACATAGTGCAGACTCAGCCTGTGCTTCTTGGTCTAGTTCACATACTACATTCCTGAAAGAGGTTGCCTTCAGCCAGGCTCAGAAGTAAAAAGCAAGTAGAAAAAAGGAAGCTCTGAGACAAGATATACGGCCAGGAAGGATAAGGCAGGCAATGGGAACTTAAAAACACAAAACTAAATCAGTAACAGAATGGGTCTCCAGTGGTGAGTCTGAGGACACTAAGAAGATGGATTTGGGCTACATGGGATTCAGCAGAGACATGGTTTCTTAAAAGGAGGCCTTCAGCCAAGTTCATAGGGAAGGTGGCCGTGAAGACAGGCCAAAATGTTCACCCCTAGTTGCAGTTCTTTTAGGGTCCAGCTCTGTCTCGCTTACAGATCCTCACTAGAGTTAGCCCTCTGGGATTCTGCATCTGGTTTGTTGCCCATCAAGCTAAAGAATGTGATTTGTCATGATTTTTTTGGTTGTAAATGACAAAAGTTCAACTTGAACAGTTTGAAGGCAAAAAGGAGGAATTTCTTGCATCACGTAACCAAATTTTGAAGGGAGCGGGAACAATTGGAAATGAGATATGCAAAAGCCACGGTGGTTACCACTTGACTCTCTTGCTTATGTCTTGGTGTCAGCTTCATTCTCACAAACCTTCTTACACTTTTTTGAGGAGGGGGTGCCAGTCTGTCTAGGGTGCCCAATATAACTTCTGTATCTGTGCTGGCAAGTACAGTAGCTGTTAGCCACATGGGGCCAGTAGGACCGAGGAAATGAATTATACATTTTATCTAGTTTTAATTAATTTAAATTTCAATAGCTATGTGTAGCTAGTGGCTAACATATTGGACAGGGCGGCTTGTCTTCCAGGTCATCCAGGGAGGAGAATTTTGATGATAGCAGTTTAAAAAAATCTTGGTAGAGGACTATATTTAGCCTGGCATAGGTCACATATGCAGCTCTGGATTACTCATGATATCCAAGAGAACAGAATACTATCCCAGGCCCACCATGTGCTTAACCATGTGTAGACGAATCAAGACCCTTCTAGAGGTAGAAGAGATGACTTCTGAAAAAAAAAATTAGCAAGCAGTCATTGAAAAACTATTACATATCATGCATTTCATATACATTACCTTAATTTCCACAAAAACTCCTTAGAGGTTAATTGCTCCCCCACGTAGTGGATGAAGAAACAAAGACTCACATTATGTGATTTGATCATAGACAGTAAATTTCAGAGCCAGAATATAAATCCTCATTTGTTTCCAAAATCTTTGTTCTTTGCACTGTAATCTGCTGTCCCTAGAGATCTGGGATAGAAAATGAGACTATTAATAGTGGAGAATTATAACAATCATAGAAGAACACACAAAACGAACGACTTGGTTTTCTCCAAAGAGTTACCTTGACTGCCTGCTACTTATTCTATAAAACATTTTTGAAATTGCTTTTAGAGAATGCAAAGGAGGCTCTAAAAGTATCTTTTCAATTATCTCTAATGACTGCAATTCTTATATTTTCGTACATTTTCTAAAAAAGTCAAAAGTATAGTGAATAATACAGGTAACAATTTATAGATAGATAAAATCACTTTGGCCCAAACTAGCTTTGTGTTAAAGTCTCTTATCTTAGTGAAACTTCTTTGGCTTTGAAGAACAGCTACCCAGAAAAGTTACCATCAGGACAGGCATGTCCCATGCATTTAAAATTGGAGCACTCAAACACCGAGGCAGCTCCTGGAACCAATTTTTGTAGGTAGCCCTGAATCTTTCTGCTTATCTGTTCCATTCTTCTACCTTTATCAATGGCCTCCCTCTACTCTGCTCACCCCAGGGCTCTCAACGTTACAAACAATGTAAAACCTAATGCAAATTGGCGTTCACAATAAAGAATTTTATTGGCTGGCATATTTAGAAAGTCTAGAGGTGGGGTTACCTTCAGAGTTACCTTAATCCAGAGGCTCAAAAGTGTCAACAGAGGATGGGAAGGACTTTAAATTGTGGTTAGACCATCTCTGTGAAGTGTTGCTTCTCTCTTTGATGGAAAAGAAAGACTAATGATAAGGATTATCTGTGGATTTTTACACTGGGAGTTACACGGCCTGACAGCTGTCAGTTCCTCGGTCCTTGGGTCCGAAATACACTCAGGGTCGTAGCTGGGTACTCCAGGAAGCAGACTCTGCAGAGGAGTTTCAAGTTCAGAATGTTATCAGGGAGTGTACTGTAGACTGACACCTGTGGACGGAAGGAAGAGCCTGCAGAGGGAGCAGTTGAGCTTCGATGCAGGCTGGACAGCCTCTGTCAAGCCCTCAGGGAGCTCTGAAGCTGAAATGATGGCTCATGGGAGTTGTTCCAGAAACAGCAAGGTCCTTCCATCCTCATGACCATTAGTCTCAGGATGTTGCTGCTCCTCAGAGGGAAGGCGAGGCCACTCTCTGAAGCTGAGGCCGTCGCTGAAGGAGATGACATCTGAAAGGACCACCACACTCTCAAAAGCTGGGCCAACAAGTCCTTCCTTGAAGAGGTTCTGGGATGTCCATTTCTGTGTCCATCCTGGATGAGTAGTGAAGGACAATGAGCTTCTCATGTTAATTTTTTTTAAATACCCACCAAGAGAAAGGAGAAAAGACTTCTGCATCCATGGTAAAATTAGAGCATTTTTTGCAAAGATCAGTACAGCAGATGCTGTCGAGACAACCAGGCTTAACTAGAACAATCTGTTATTGGTGCCATTTACAATGAAATGCTGAGCAGGAGAAACTTGGTCTGCACAGGCAAGCAGAAGGACCCTCACTGATTATTCCAGTGAAAAAGGTTATTTTGAGAAATAGATAAGGAGGAGGAAGATCAAAGAGGACTTCCAGGAAATAGCCCAGAACATTGGTTAGCTAGCCCTGGGAAATCCTGCTCAAATTTGGGGAAGAGAGTGGTTGTGGGTACGATCAAGTTGCCTGATGTTGGGTTCCCAACATCCAGATCCTGCGAGAGTGGGAACAGGCAGGTTTCCCACTTCCAGGGAGGTTCTCCTCAGTATAGGCCCTTAGGACTAACAGGTGACCAACCGCGTTTTCTAATTTGTTACAAGTGTGGGTCAGTCAATAACAAATAGAATAATGATGACCAAATAGTCAATCTCTGAGCTCTGTGTGGCACGGACTGCTGCCAAGGGCCCAGTGACTCAGGGCTTTGTGCAGCGATGGCCAGGGATCCCCCCGCTACACGCATCAGACATTATCCAGCTCCGATGAGGAGTGCTGTGGAGCAGGGCTTCAAGTCTCTGGAGCCAGCAATAGCCATTCTTCCTCCCTCAAACCTCTAACATCTCTCCCTCTATTTTAATAATTGATGAACTTGCTTTCTGTTTGTATTAGTTATCTCTTTCTTTGTAACAAATTACCCCCAAATTTAGCATCTTAAAACAACAAATATTATCTCACACAGTTTCTGGCTGGGTAGTCTGGCTCAGGGTTTCTTAAGAGATAGCAGTCAAGTTGTTGGCCAAGACTACAGTCTCTGAAGACTGTATTGAGGCTAGAAGATCTGCTTTCAAGATCATTCACCAGCCTGTTGGCAGGAGCCTTCAGTTCTTTGCCAAGTGGGCCTTTTTATATGGCTGCTCATGACATAAATGGCTTTCCCCAGAGCAGGTGATCTGAGAGACAGTGAGAATGAGACTACGTGGTGGGGAGAGAGAGACAGAGAGAGGGAGTGAAGGAGAGAGGAAGGATACAGCATGTTTTATAACCTAATTTCTGAAGTGGCATAGCATCCCTTCTCTATTGGTCACACAGAGCACCTCTGGTACAGTGTGAAAGGGGACTACACAAAGGTGTGAATACCAGGAGGTGGGGATCATTAGAGGCCACCTTATAGGCTGGCTACGATACTGTTTTACAGAGAAAACAGAGCAATCAGAAGAGAACTTCCACAAGCTCCCACCACCATCTCACCCAATTACCAGTATTCTATTTTCACTACTGTTGTTATAATGAAGTGTCCCTCCTGCTGTCTAAGGCCAGTCCCTCCAACTGTTCACTCGATCTCACTCCCTCTTGTTCACTAGATCCTGTTCCTTCTTGCCCGCAGACACAAAATTTCTCCCATCTCTTTCCTGCATTGTCATTGTTCTCGTTTACTGGGTAATTCCCATCAACAAAACACGTGCTGTGATGTTAAAGAACCCTCCTATGGTCCTCTCTCTCCTTTCAGCTACCCATTTCTCTGTGTCCCTTTACAATAAAACTCATTATAAGAGTTTTCTAAAATTGCTGTCTCCAATTCCTCCTCCCCTCCTTTTAAGTCTACCCCATCAGGCTTTTGCTCTCAAACTACTTCAGAAACAATGCTCTTATAAAAGTTGTCTATGACCTATGTATTGTTAAATCCAGTAGTCAGTTCTGAGTCCTCATCTTATTTGACCTATCAGCAGAGTTTAACACAGATGGCCTGTCTCCTTCAATGAATCATTTTCTTCATTTGGCTTTCAAGGTATCACACACTCCTGGTTTTCTTCCTTAGCTTACTGGCTTATCTTCCCAGTCTCTCTGCACTCCCTTCTTCTTCTTCCTAGCCTCTTTAATGTTGGAAAAAACCCATGGCTCAGTCCTTGGACCTCTCTTCTTATCTGTCTATAATTTCAGGAATTTTCCTGATTCTTCTCTCCTTTGTCCGTGTCCTCTCTCGTGTGCACACGCACACACACACTCACTCCATATCCAACCTTCAACAGGTCCTGAAAATCCTGCCTCCCAAATATATCCAGAGTCCAACTACTTCTTACCATCTCTACCACTACTTTCCTGATACAAGACATCATAATCTCCTATTGGGATTATTGGAATAGCTTCCTAATTGGTCTACCTGCTTTTACCCTTGCCCCATTCAGTCTATTCTCAGTGCAGCATCCAGAGTGATTAAAAAAAAACTAAGTCACATTATGGCATTCCTTTGCTCAAAACCCTCCAGTGGCTCCCCATCTCAAAGTCTTTCAGTGGTTTATAATGCTCCATGTGATTGTTCGCCCTCTAACCTGACCTATCTCAACACTCTGCTCCTTTTAACTCTGCACCAGTCACACCAGCCTCCTTGCTGTTTCTCAGCCAGGCAGACATCCTGGAGTGACTGTACTTGATGTTCCCTCTACCTGAAACACTCAGAAAAATTACAGTAGCTTGTTTCATTATCATAGAAATTTGCATTGGAGTCTTTGCTCCAAAGTACCTCAGGGAAGCCTTCTCTGTTCATCCTATCTAAAATTTCCTCCCTCCTACCGCCAATACACTTTTTATCTTTCTCTGCTTTTACTCTACAACTCTCATCAGCATCAGACACATTTATTTACTTATTCATGAGTCTATCTGGTTATTTCTCATTGTGTTGTAAATTCCATGAACAAGGGGGTCTGCTTTGTTCACTGCTATATATTTCCAGTGCTTAGTATACAAAAAGCTCTCAATTATAATACATATGAACGAACAAATGGGTATTTATTTCACAGTGATAATGAAGCATCCCAAGATTATAGCAGAGTTTGGAGCAGAAAGGTAGACCACTCACGAGGCTTTTATGTTTACATATAAGAATACGTATGAAACAGCATGGAAACGTAAGGAGGTGTACAAGGGATCAGCATGATTTACTGCTGGCTTACTTCGTTCCTCAAAAAAGCCCCGCAGGCCCGCTTTATTCCATCCTTCTCCGGTGCTTCCCTCAATTGGGCCCTTGCCTCGCCCAGTCAATCAGCTCTTCAGCTCAACTTACTCCTCTTCCTAAAGGACCTTGGACGTGCTCAACGCTGGAGCAGTCGGGGCACTGCCAGCGGGCCACACACCGGCTCGTGGGTTACGCCCCACACCCCGCGCCCCGGCCCCGATCCTCGCGCGCTCACGAGCACCACCCCCTCGGCAAGACAGAGCGGAAGTGACGACACTCCGGCGCCCGAAACCCCGCCCGTCTCGCCTTCCCAGTCCCCGGGAGGTGACGTAAGCCCGGAAGGGGCGGGCACAAGGCTACCGAGGGGCGGGGTGGAGCGGAGTGTCCCGCCGGAAAGTGGCGGTTTGCTAGAGGCGGTTAGTTTAGAGTCTGTGGTGGTGTGAGTCTGTGGCGAGCTGCGGGTCTATACTAGGTCCGTGCTGTCTTAGCTGGAGTGGGACTCCCCGAGGCCTGAGAAACAGGCTGTTCTCTGGCCCCGAACTCCCCGGCGTTCAGCGGTTGCCTCCGTTTGGATACCGATTATTTGGACTCTCCCTCAGACCCAGGTTCCGAGCCCTCTTGCCCTCTGGCTGCTACCGTGTTTCCCCCCTTTCCTACGTCGCTGTGCCACCCCTGGCACAGTCTTCGTTTTCTCAGTCAGATTCGTTTTTCTCTCCCCTCTTACCCCCGTTCCTTTGGAGGGCTGTGTTTAAACGTTTCCTTACTTCTTCCTTCCCCCTTCTCTGCCCTTCTTTTCCCTTTCTCCAGAATCCTTTTTCTTCGACTCCCTGCCAGGCTACTGCTTCCTCCAAGTTTTCTCTCCTTTTCAGGAGCCTGTGGCATATGTGTTAGGACGTTGAGCTTTTAAGGCGGTTGTTTGAAGTTTTTAAGCTTTTCCTCTCTTAACCAGTTGTCATAGATGCCAGGAAGTATGGCCCCCCTCAAGAAGACTCGAAATACCGCAAAGTTGCCTCTGGCTTTAAACCCCCTGAAGAGCAAGGACGTGTTGGCAGTGCTGGCTGAGAGGAACCAGGCCGTAGTACCAGTAGGGGTTTGGGTGGAGCCTGCCCCGCTAAATAGTTCGGAAGTCCCGGCATATGTGAGTGTCATTTTGATCTAAATGTGGTGGAGGCCCTCCTCCGTCTTTCTTTTTATTAGCCTTCTCTTATCCCTGGTGCTCATATAAGATGAACAGTCTGGGGATGCTGTTTCTATTCTGTCATAAATAGATATGTTCTTGCATTAGGATTATAGAACAAATGTATTTGCCAAAACTTGCTGCTGCTTTAGTCGACATAATCAAATATTTATTACATATATATATATATTTCAGTTTACTTCTCAAACCTTTTTTTTGATTTTTTTTTTAAATTGAGTTATAGTCAGTTTACATACTTCTCAAACTCTTGATTTCTTGCTATGCACAAGACAGGCACAGTCTGTATCTTCCAGACACTCTACTGTGTAGTAGGGATACTATCCATGGTTAATGTAACATTGATTGCTTAAAGTTTATAAGTTTCATAAGGGAGAGTCAGTAAGGTTCAGATACAGAAAGAGAATAAAGGAGGAATAGATTAATTCTGACTGGGATTCTGAAAAAGTCTAACTAAATTTCATGAGGACAGAGACCTTTATGTTTTGTTCATTCCTGTACTGGCCTACAGCAAGTCTTCAGTAAGTATTTGTTGAATGAATGGATGAGGAAATATACTTTGTGTTAGTCCTTAAAGAATGGAAATGCTGTAGGTACAGATGGTAGGGAAAAGCATTTCAGATGAAGGGAAACTTTTGCAAATTTACATGTGTGCCTGTTTACAAGATAACTCTCATAGTATTTATTAACACAAGAGGACAATTTTGTAAGTTTTTTGATAGTCTTTCACCAAACGGTGCCTCTTAGCTGTTTGTTCATATATTATTGTGGCACTTACTACGTTATTGTAAGTTGTTTACATATGTACTTTTCTTGATGGAGCATGTAAATATTTATGGAATGCGCAAAATGTGTAAAGGTCTTTGGAATGTATAGACAAGGTGCTGAACATGAGTTGAAAAGTATGAGGTAGGTTCTCTTAGTGGTCTTTGATCTCAGAGAAGAAATGAGACATGTTTAAAGTAAATGTTAAATAGCAATGCAATATCATGCATTCATTCATTTTATTTAAGTTTGTATATATGTATGTACATATTCATTCACTTTTTCCTATGCTATTTCCAGAAAGATTTTAAGAGTCTGAGTAGTATATGGTTAAGTGCTAAGACTATAGCGCTTAATCAAAGAAGAAAGATAGGACTTTGGGTTGATGTGACCCCTTTAATGAAGAATTTGGATAATCAGAAAAGAAAGGGGATGATTTTTCCAATTAAAGAGAATGGAGAGAGTAAGAAGTAAGCAACGTATATTCAGGATTTTAAAGGTAGGTTAGATTGATTGGAGTGGAAGGCTTAGAGGGGAATGGTGGTAGATAGGATTGTGGAAAATTAGAGTGATAGGGAACCACAGGAAATTCTGGAGACAGGATTGACTTCATTTGTTGTTTAATATTTACAGATGAATTTCATGATCAAATAGTATTTTGATTAGCTTAATTGCTTTTAAGTTTTTAAAGGTGAGGGAGAGATTGATTCCTGGGGGACAAATTAGGATATGACTGTAACAATTTAGGCATGAAGTATAACATTAAGACTCTGGTAAGTAATGTAGAGGGAAGCCTTGAAAAAGGATGACTGAAGTGGAAATGAAAAGGGGTAAATTTAAGAAACACCTCAGAAAAATCAGTAAGATTTGGTACAAAGGTATTTTGATATTTAAATTATGACACCTCTTTTTAATTGCTCAAATTATGACATCTTTATAATGTCAATAGCATCAAAATGCCTAAAAACCACCAAGATTTTCTGTGTTAAAAAGAATTGTCTCAGCATTATGCTGTACACCAGAAATTGACTCAACATTGTAAACTGACTATACTTCAATAAAAACATATATACACACAAAAAAAGAATTGTCTCATATTCCCACACATTAACTCAAAATATTGAAGTCTTGGAACATGTATAAACATATCTCCTTTCCCTCATTT